TTTTACCTGTGAGATGCGGAGTACCCCAAGCTTCAATCATTGGTCCACTCCTATTCACCTTATATGTAAATGATCTCCCTGGTTCGTTATCCAAGTGTAAATTTCATATGTATGCCGATGATGTCCAAATGTATGTTAGTTGTCCGTTAAGCAGAATAAATGAGTGTGTATTGTTGTGTAATGTTGAACTGTCGAACGTTAGTAAATGGGCCAACTGTAATGGATTGTCGCTAAACCCTGTCAAATCTAAATGTATTATTATATACAAAAGGTTGCTCAGCACGGAAAATCTGCCAAAATTATCAATAAATAACACGCCAATTGAATATGTGGATCAGGCTGTTAATCTTGGTATCACCACAAACAAGACATTGTCCTGGAGTGACCAAGTAACCAAGGCAGCCGGTAAAACGTATGGTATAATAAGACTACTTTCCTTGACTCAGCAATTTTTGCCAAAACACCTCAGACTCTTGATAGCCAAAACATATCTAATACCCACGCTATGTTATGGTATTAAAATTTTTGGAAATTGTGATAGTGCATCTCAGCACCGACTAAAAGTAGCATACAATAATGTAGATAGATATATCTTCAATGTTAAAAGGGGTGAGCACATATCCAGTTTTGCTGACAGCATCAATCAGATGAAGTTTGGAAAGACAACAGAATTCTAAAAATGTTGCATAAAATCGTTTATACAAGAGAACCGAGCTATTTATATGAAAAGCTGCGTTTTGGTGCGTCTGCAATAACCAACAATATTATTAATATCCGTTACAAGCATGGCAATTCCGATCGGCAATTTTTTATACATGCCATTCGTCTGTGGAATCAGCTACCACAAAACCTAAAGAAAACGAGAAGGAACGTGTGAGTCGCTTCTGGGGACGCGACTCTACTTATACCCGTACTCAGTCAGTATATACATTTTTGAGCATGATTTTTTAGAATTTTAGAATTAAAAAAAAAATTTTACATTTTACATTTTTTTGCTAAATTTGTTATCTACATCTCATCTACAATGTCTATTCTACATCTAACATGTAGTTTGTACAAGTACCATTTAGATTCTACATCTCCTCCGCTAGGGGTTGCTCGCGCACTGGACAGACGGACAGACGGACGGACAGACGGACATGGCTATATAGACTCGGCTATTGATGCTGATCAAGAATATATATACTTTATGGGGTCGGAAACGTTTCCTTCTCTGCGTTGCACACATCCACTTTTACCACAAATCTAATATACCCCTTAACTCTTTTTTGAGTACGGGTATAATTAGTAGTGCATCGCAATATAGGGAAAAATTAAACTTTTACATAAAAACAAACAATAGTAATAAAAAAAACTAAAAATATCTATATATATAAAAGAAAGTCGTGTCTGTTACAACACTTATAACTCGAGAACGGCTGGACCGATTGCCATGGTTTTTGATTTGTTGGATTTGTTTCCGTCCCGAATAGCAGAATACATCTTAAAAACTCGATATGCGCAATGAATAGCTGCATTTCAATAGATTTTGATTTTTTTATTACAAATATCGAGTTTTCATTGATTTTCTTTCTCCATGTCAAACATTTGTTGTCCAATCCTGTCAAATAGTCAAATTCCCGAAAATAATACCTAAGATTTATTCTACAGTATTCTACATAAAATCATCGAAAAGGAACGGAATTTAGGGAATAAAAAATCAGTTTGGTGGTTTTATGCGAGTGCACATTTTAATAACAATGCCGCGTCCTAGAAGATCTAATCTTTCCCAGCGAAGCCGTAATGCAATTAGGCAACGGAATATCGTGAGTCAATTATATGATGGAGAACGAGAAATTGCACGAGAACAGCGACGTGTTAGTATGGAGCAAAGAAGGGCCTTAATTCGTGCTTCTCAAAGACAAGAGCAAAGAGAGGCAGCCCTTGAAACGGCTAGGTTAGAAAGGAGAAATCGTCGAGCTTATCGTACAGATGAACAGAGGAACAATCTTCTGACGCATTTAATAGAGAATTGAAACGTGAACGTGAATATGATCCACATGAACTAATCCAATCAGTTCAAACGAATGTACCTCTGTTGAATCCTAAGCAGAGGGAAGTCTATGATACACTGATTAATGCAATTGATGATGGAAATGGCGGCTTATTTTTTTTGGATGCCCCCGGTGGAACTGGGAAGACATTCCTCATGTCATTGATTTTGGCCACTGTACGTGCTAGATCCGAAATTGCGGTAGCAATTGCTTCTTCTGGAATAGCGGCCACATTGTTAGACGGATGCCGTACGGCTCACTCAGCGTTAAAATTGCCATTAAACCTTCAAACTACTGAACAACCGACATGTAACATTTCGAAACACTCCGCAATGGCCAAAGTTTTAGTAGCATCAAAAATCATCATATGGGACGAATGCACAATGGCGCACAAACGCGCATTGGAAGCACTAGACCGAACATTAAAAGATCTGCGAAATGACTCGAGATGTTTTGGAGGTGCAATGATTTTATTATCTGGCGATTTCCGACAAACACTACCAGTCATTCCAAGATCTACTGCTGCCGACGAAATAAACGCTTGCCTCAAAGCATCAAATCTGTGGCGATATGTAAAGAAACTTCAACTGTCTGTAAATATGAGAGTTGCATTGTTGAACGATCTATCTGCTGATGATTTCTCGAAGCAATTGCTGACTATCGGTAATGGCCGTGTTCCTGTTGACAAGTCGAGCGGTTTGATTTCATTTCCTCCAAATTTTTGCAATTTCGTATCATCAAAAGACGAGCTTATCAACAAAGTATTCCCGGATATCATTGCTAACCACAAAAATACTAAATGGTTAAGTGAGCGAGCAATTTTGGACGCTAAAAATAAAGATGTATATGACCTCAATATTATAATTCAAAATAAAATCGTAGGTACTCCTATATAAATATATTATTTTGTATCATTGTTTTACGTTCATCAAAGCCTAAATTAGTTCAGCTAAAAAGTAACACGACATTCATTGACTGTTAGGCGGTACGAAGTTTGCCGGGTCAGCTAGTTTATAATATAAAAAAAAAACAAACAAAAATAAAATAAAATAAAAATTAAACAAAAGAAATCAAAATTTAACATAAAAATATAAATAAATAGGCTAAGTAGGTTAATCATACCGACTCAAACCCAAACAAAGAATAATAGTTTTACTTTAACGGTTTTGTTTTGTGACTAGTGCATTAATTTATAAGAAACTTACTTGTCGCACTAGGAAATAAGTAAATAAATAAACATATAAAAAAATAAAAAGAATCCTTCGACAGAGTGCTTGGATCGTAAAAATTCAGGAGGTCTGCAGTCAGACAGTTCGATCATATATCCGCTGCTTTAAATGCAAGCCTCGACTGCTGACGCAACTTATAGGAAATTTATCCGCAGACCGGCTCCGTGCTCTCCGCCCATTTTAATTTGCGGCGTTGCTTTTTGTGGACCGGTCTAGACGACATTGAAAATTTGAGAAAGGCATGGTCAGGGTCGTCGACCTTAGGAGGAGCGATGGAGGCATTTTTCGGCGGGCCATCCACAAGTTGGCGCCGTTACCAATTTGTTGAAGCCGCGCAGGCCTTTAACGGAACCAGTGTTTCGTCATGTAATCGTCGTAGTCAATGTTTTATATTAAGATTATTTTGAATTGTTTGAGTGTTTGTTCTAGTGTAAGTAGAAGAGGGCCAGGCGGGAGCGCAATAAAAGCTCTCTCTTTCGCTCAAGGCGAATTCGCCCCGCTTTGCCACCGTAGGTTAGCTAGGCATAGAACGAATTGTAATGAATTTAGAATATAATCGTTTAAATTGAATTCGATCTAGTGCACCGAGAACTTCTTTCGTCCCGCATTTTTAATAAAACTTTACGCCACCCAAGTATTTCGGTCTTTCGCATTTAGAAAAACTGTTCTAAATTTTCACATACGTTGCGATCTTTACCGAAAGCATGCACAAGCTAATTCAGGCATCAAGTGCTGATGTGGTACAAAATGTCAAACCACAATCGAATGTTCGGAGCCAGCAATTCCCGGACGCTTACAGCAAATTGCCTTCACTATGTCGCCGACAAAAGGCCTTACTATAATCCATAAAACGCATTCTGAGACAATTCTCAGAGGCGTTAGGACGTACATCAAGTGATTTAATAAAATCACTATGGACTCAAGCACAGGAAGTCCATTTTACTATTCACGAGGAATATGATAAGACGAAAAAGGAGGATAAGACATGAAAGCCTACCTGACCTTGGAAAAAGAGGTACAAAGAGCATTGACAAAACCAGCAATAATGACGTGCAGCTTCCACGCATCAACATTCCCAAGTTTGATGGGGACATACTAAAATGGTCCCAGTTCTATGTCCAGTTCTCATGCATGATTCATGAAACAAACATGCCCACAGTACGAAAGATGTGGTATCTAAAAACAACCGTAACTGGAGAGGCAGAAAGATTGATCCGACACATCGGTCTAAAGGAAAAAAATTATGTGAGTGATACATACAACAATCGGTATTGAACCGCTTCCTAAGTCATTACACAGTTAATGACGATTCCAAGTCAGCAGAGTACATCTCTCTTTGCATAATTGTTGGTTTTCCGTCGTCGCTTCGTTGCTTTTAGCGGTGCATACCTATCGCATATATAAGTGCCAAAAAAGTGAACGCAAAGGCGTTTGAACTCGTTTTGAACTCGATTGAACTCGCGCGTTGCGTAATAATATTTAATTGTGATCGACTAGCACCCTCCGCGTCAACCGTTTTCTATAACCAAAACCATGGGCAAGAAAAAGAATAGCAGAAAGAGTGGATCGTTTGCTATGGAAAATGAAAGTGATTCTGTGACATTTGGCGCTGCTCCATCGGGCGGAAGTTTTAGTGCGAATGCAGCCAGCACCCAAGTCCCTGTTCCGGTATCTCGTATTTCCTTCATGAGACTGAAGGCTAGAGCTATTTTCGATCGGTTAGAGACCGTTGCGTCAAATGGATGAATACGACTTGCGAGGGCTGTTGGAATCATTGACGGAGCTTAAGTCAAATTTTGTTGTGGCACACACCAGTTTGGAGGATTTGGATTTCGAGTCAATGTCCAGTGAAATTCCTGCCAAATTCGACTCGTCGATATTGTCGTTGAGGACCATTCTTCGGCGCGAGCTTGGAAGTCGCTCGAGCAATAAGCATTGTTCCACATTCAACGCCAACTCTAGTGAATCGCAGTCAATCGTCATAATGTCTAATCGATCTCGGTTACCTCATCTGGAGCTGCCCAAATTCAGTGGAATTTATACGGAGTGGGCCAATTTCTTCTTAATGTTCACCGCGATTATTGACAAGGAGTCTGAGCTGAGCCCTATCGAAAAACTGCAGCATCTACGTTCCTGCTTGAGTGGCGCAGCCCTGAATACCATCAGCTCGTTGGAAATAAATGAAGCTAATTATATCATAGCATTAGACATTCTGAAGCGACGCTTTGATAATAAACGTTTTATTTTGCAGGCACACATCAGAGGGATATTTGGGTTGGAGAAGGCTGACGCATCGGTGGGCAGATTGAGGGAATTGACCGACAGAGTTACATCGCATATTCGTGCTATGGAGTCGCTTGCAAGCAAGGAAGAAGTGGCGGACTGCATTATCGTGCAGACTGTTCTTCAGAAGCTGGACAAAGCCTCTCAAAATAGATGGTAGGAGTCTTCGTCGAATCAAGAGCTGCCATCTTGGGAGAAACTGTCTGGATTCTTGGAAAAAAGATGTCGCACGCTTGAAAATGTGGATCAAGGACAAGGACAAGGACAAGATGGTCAGGTTGGCAAGTCCGGAAAAACCGTGAGTACGCATCAAAGAAAGACATTTGTAGCATCGAACGCTCCAGTTTCTTTTGAACTGTGCGAGAGTACTCATCACATGATTGCCAATTGTCAACGGTTTGCAATTCTATCGCCGAATGATCGTCGCCTGGAAGCCAAGAGGCTCTTGCTATGCCTAAATTGCCTACGAAAAGGCCATCAATTGAGAGATTGTAGATCAGGTCCCTGCCGCACTTGCCGATCGAAGCACCACACTCTTTTGCATTTCATTCGTCCAACAGAGGCTGCCCAATCTGTTCCTGCAATTGAAGCCTCACCAGCACAACCAAGTCGTAACGCCATGGTTGCAGTATCGCCCTCCTTGCCTCAAGCCTTTATGTCCCACAGTCCATCTGATGCTGTGCTTTTAGCCACTGCCGTCGTTCTCGTAAAAAACAGCGTTGGAACTTTCGTACCCTGTCGCGCATTTTTGGATTCCGGATCGCAATTGCATTTCATAACTAGTCGTCTAGCTAAGCAACTAAAACTTCGAACAACCAAATCGCTTACCGCTGTCTCTGGCATAGGAGATGCTAGCTTCCCAACAGAAGGTATCTCGGTGGATCTCGTTCTGAAATCGCGGATTTCAGAGTTCACCACTAGCATCACTGCCGTCGTTGCCCAGAAGATCACGGACCATCAACCTAGCATCACAGTTAGCACTGCTAGTTGGCCTATACCGTCGAATATCCAGCTTGCTGACCCTTCGTTCCATAAGCCACAGCGGATTGACCTCCTCATCGGAGCCGGACTTTTCTTCGAGTTGCTGTGTGTGGGGCAAATTCAGCTGGCGCCTGGACTACCGACTACCATCTAGGATGGATTCTTTTTGGTGGCGGGCACTCGGCCCTCAATAACTCGTCGTTCATCGCAACCCAATCTTCGGATGACATCAATCACAGCACTCGGCTCGATGAGTTGGTTCGTCAATTTTGGGAAGTGGAGCACATCTTTGAGCCAATCGTTAGGGCAAGAAAGGAGGAGCTGCAAATTTGGAGAAAATCTGGAAAATTTGGAGCGCAAGTTCGTGCGTAATCCAGTTTTATATTCGAAATATTCGGCATTTATGAAGGAGTACCTGTCCCTTGATCATATGTCTCTGGCTCCAAATGAAGATAGACACAAGTGCAGATAATTCTTGCCGCATCATTGTGTCATTAAAGAGGATAGCTCCACGACAAAGCTGAGAGTCGTATTCGACGGCTCTGCAGTTACCACATCTGGTCTCTCGTTGAATGATCTGCTTATGTCAGGTCCCACCATTCAATCCAAGCTGTTTCACACTCTCCTTCGATTTCGTACATTTTCCATTGCTCTTACAGGCGATATCGGTAAGATGTATATTTGCGTGCGTGTCTCAATGCCCGACACCATGCTCCAATGCATCTTGTGGAGGGACTCTGCTGACGACAATATAAAGATCTTCAAGCTAAACACCGTCACCTATGGGACTAAGCCTGCATCGTTTTTAGCTATTCGAGCTATGCATCAGCTGGCCATGGATGAGTCGTCTTCGTATCCATTGGGTTCGGAAACCATTCTACAGGACTTCTACGTAGACGATATGATTTCTGGAGGAAATTCAGTCGAGGAAGTGCTGGATATTATGCGTCAAACCACGGAGCTTCTTGCTTGTGGCAATTTTCAGTTAAGGAAATGGTGTTCAAACTCTCCTGATGTTCTTCGTGAAGTCCCTGAGGCAGAAAGGGAAAGTTTTCTGAAGCTCGATGATGGCAGCGATGTGACCAAGGCGCTTGGACTCATCTGGGAACCCCAGAGGGATAAGTTCCTGTTTACTTTTGCACCTCAAATCGGTGTTGGAAAGCACACTAAGCGTTCGGTGTTGTCAACCATTGCACGGTGCTATGATCCTATGGGATTGATTGGACCCACATTGACCAGAGCGAAAATCATCATGCAGCGCATGTGGAGAGACAAGCTGCATTGGGATGAAAGTCTTCCTCAGCCACTGGAATCGGCTTGGACTGAGTTTTGCAAGGACTTCGCTACTGTGGGTAACGCTACATTTCCGCGTTATATACTTCAACCTAAGGCAAGGTTTGAGTTGCATGCCTTTTGTGATGCCAGCCTCCAGGCCTATGGGGCTTGTATCTACGCTCGTTCGTTTAGGGATACCGCCGATGAGGTACATTTGCTTTGCTCGAAGGCTAGAGTTGCACCATTGAAAACCCTCACGGTGCCTAAGCTTGAGCTATGTGCAGCGTTCCTGTTAGCCAATTTGCTTCGCGAAATTAGGAAAATCGATACCTTCGACTGCCCGATCCATTGCTGGTCGGATTCAACTGTGGTACTGTCTTGGTTGCGAGAGGAACCATCAAAATTTAACGTGTTTGTGTCTAACAAGATTTCCGCAATACAGCAACTTACGAGGGGCATGGATTGGCGCTATGTACCAACTGAAATGAACCCGGCTGACATTCTTTCAAAGGGAGCAGCGCCTCAGGAGCTCTTGCAGTCTAGGTTGTGGATGAATGGACCTTCTTTCTTGCAAGGCGAAAGAAGTAGCTGGCCTGAACGTTGTTCGCCCGAACTCAGTCTTCCGGAAATTAGGCATCGAGTATTGCTGTCGTCTGAGCGTGTCGACATCTCGCTTTCGTTTAAGCACATTAACTCATTCGGAGTCATGATGCGCATTTTCGGATAGGTTCATAAGTTCGTCAGCAAGAAAAGGTCACCTGATCTCTCGTCTGAAGACCTTCTCAAAGGATCGCACTTGTTGTGTCGCATCGGAAATGCATCATCTGCTGCAGGTCCAGACCTCGTCTTGTGGAACACATAATGGCTGACCTACCGAAGGATCGAGTGCAGGATTCGCCTGCATTCAGCGTCACTGGAATCGATTACTGTGGTCCCTTCTATTACAAGCCAGATGGCCGCACTCGAACGCCTACAAAATGCTACATCAGCGTCTTCATCTGTTTTGCAACAAAGGCCGTTTGGTTGGAATTAGTGAAGGACCTCACAACTGCTGGATTTTTGAGTGCCCTCAAACGCTTCGTTCCACGCGCGGCATACCCCGATGCATTTGGTCGGACAATGGCACCAATTTTGTGGGCGCAAGGAACGAGTTGGAGGACCTTCGGCGGCTGTTTATGAGCGAGAAGCATCGTGATGCAGTTGATAATCATTGCATCAACAATGGCTTCAATTGGAAGTTTATCCCGCCTCGCTCACCCCACTTCGGGGGCTTGTGGGAGGCAGCAGTGAAGATGGCCAAGCAGCATTTATATCGCTCCCTGGGATCGTCACTCTTTGGCTTTGACGAGCTGCGGACATTGGTCTGCCAAATCCAGGCTGTAATAAATTCTCGTCCTCTTCTCGCAATTTCAGAAAACCCTGAAGATCTTGGCGTCCTTACACCAGGACATTTTCTAATTGGTCGTCCGCTGATGGAGTTTCCCGAGCCAGATGTTACAAATATAAACTTTAACAGACTAGATTGCTGGCAAAGAGTCGCCTGTGCTCAGCAAATCTTTTGGAAGCGTTGGAGTGAGGAGTATTTGACTCTGCTACAACAACGTGCCAAATGGCGCACACCGCAGCCATCGATCCAAGTCAACGACATCGTCTGTATAAAGGACGAAAACTTGCCGCCGTTGAAGTGGCCATTAGCACGGGTGATCGACATCATCGCTGGAGCTGATGGCACTGTGCGAGTTGCCGTCCTGAGAACACCATCTGGAACCACTCGTCGAGCTGTCAACAAGCTGTGCGTCCTACCCGTTGAGGATCCTGTTAAAAGCCCTAGTCTTTCAACGGGGGGGAGTATGTTCGGAGCAGCAGCCGATAATAGTTCTTCTTAATATCATATAGTCATATATCATCTCTTATACTGCTTATACTTATCGCTCTCTCAGTACGCTCCCGTACACACGCACATATGCCAGTACTGCTTATAGTGCATTGCTTCGCCCTGTTCTCGGTGCAGTCCAAATATTCGTCGAACGCATCGAGTCGTAGTTCACGGCCACGGCCTCAAACCCTTTGTAACCCGTCGTGAAAATAAAAAACATTTGTAAACTTAACCAACGGAGTAAATTATTGTAAATGTGGAGTCAGAGTTGCCGAAAAAGCTCGGCAGCTTCCAACAGCCCCCATACAAGTCCTATAAAGCGGTTCGCTTAGAACTTGTATCAGACTTGACTACTGACTCTTTTTTATTGGCTTTCCAAGGAGGACTATGGGAGGCAGATGTGAAATCTGCAAAGAGCCTACTCCTACGTGCGTTAGGCAGCGCGCTCTTGACCGACGAAGAGCTCGCCACAGTCCTCGTCGCGTTTGAGGCCGTCCTGAACTCCAGGCCGCTGGGATCCATCAGCTAGGACCCCAGCGACGGCGAGGCACTGACGGCCGGGCACCTGCTGACAGGCGGGTCGCTCATCGCCCCCCAGCACTGCGGACTCCGGACCAGGGGGGTCTCAGCTGCTTGCGGCGATTGCGACTTGCCTCGTCAGTCATGCAAACGTTCTGCCGGCGATGGTCGACGCAAGCCCGAAGTCAAGGAGGGAGACCTCGTGGCCGAGCACAACATAGCTCCAAAGGAGTGGCTCCTCGGGAAAATTATCGCCACGCACGCAGGGGAGGACGGCATGGTCAGGGTCGTCGACCTTAGGAGGAGCGATGGAGGCATTTTTCGGCGGGCCATCCACAAGTTGGCGCCGTTACCAATTTGTTGAAGCCGCGCAGGCCTTTAACGGAACCAGTGTTTCGTCATGTAATCGTCGTAGTCAATGTTTTATATTAAGATTATTTTGAATTGTTTGAGTGTTTGTTCTAGTGTAAGTAGAAGAGGGCCAGGCGGGAGCGCAATAAAAGCTCTCTCTTTCGCTCAAGGCGAATTCGCCCCGCTTTGCCACCGTAGGTTAGCTAGGCATAGAACGAATTGTAATGAATTTAGAATATAATCGTTTAAATTGAATTCGATCGAGTGCACCGAGAACTTCTTTCGTCCCGCATTTTTAATAAAACTTTACGCCACCCAAGTATTTCGGTCTTTCGCATTTAGAAAAACTGTTCTAAATTTTCACATACGTTGCGATCTTTACCGAAAGCATGCACAAGCTAATTCAGGCATAAGGTGCTGATGTGGTACAAAATGTCAAACCACAATCGAATGATCGGAGCCAGCAATTCCCGGACGCTTACAGCAAATTGCCTTCACCATGTCGCCGACAAAAGGCCTTAGTATAATCCATAAAACGCATTCTGAGACAATTCTCAGAGGCGTTAGGACGTACATCAAGTGATTTAATAAAATCACTATGGACTCAAGCACAGGAAGTCCATTTTACTATTCACGAGGAATATGATAAGACGAAAAAGGAGGATAAGACATGAAAGCCTACCTGACCTTGGAAAAAGAGGTACAAAGAGCATTGACAAAACCAGCAATAATGACGTGCAGCTTCCACGCATCAACATTCCCAAGTTTGATGGGGACATACTAAAATGGTCCCAGTTCTATGTCCAGTTCTCATGCATGATTCATGAAACAAACATGCCCACAGTACGAAAGATGTGGTATCTAAAAACAACCGTAACTGGAGAGGCAGAAAGATTGATCCGACACATCGGTCTAAAGGAAAAAAATTATGTGAGTGATACATACAACAATCGGTATTGAACCGCTTCCTAAGTCATTACACAGTTAATGACGATTCCAAGTCATTAAAAGAGTTGTACGTTACAACAATCGAATCCCTGGCATCACTAAAGGGATTGGGCATCAATATATCACCCTGGGATACAATATTGATTGCTGTCAACAAAAATAAGCTGGATGTCACTAACCGAGCCTTGTACGAGCAATCATTGGGAAGCTCAAAGGAAATACAGGCCTAGGACACTATGCTTTAGTTACTTCAGTTCCAAATCACACACACAAGCACACATTAACATTGCTCAATGATAATTCTTTTTCTATGGCAAGACCCAGGATATATTTTCTTTTGTCGATTTTTCCTGAGTTTCAAAATTAAAAAAAAAAATACCGCACAAAAATAATTGTTTTTGCATTTGAAAGCTTAATATTTCCCAAACGGTATACTAAAGCCACTAGGTTCTTGGGTTTAATTGCATTGCTGCATCAATTAGCTTTTCAGAATGGCAAAGTTATTTACAACCAGATGAAAGATACTTAAGTTATGTGAAAAAAAAGCTCAAATAATTAATAGTTTTCAAATATTCTTAAAAAAAACGAGAAGGAACGTGCGAGTCGCTTCTGGGGACGCGACTCTACTTATACCCGTACTCAGTCAGTATATAAGTTAACACTCCCCACCAGCCATAGGGTATCGGCAATGTTCTTAGTTATAAGAATGCTGACCCAGCGCTGGCATGGAAAGGGGCGGCAACATATTACTATGTTGCATAAACATCCGCTCGACCAACGGGGTCCGCACGAGGCGCTGGCGCAGCGAAACTGGAGACCGCTGCTCGCGCAGCGCTGCCCAGGCTGGGGGGACTTATGCATAATTATATCATTTTGTACTTTTAGTCTTTTACTCACTTTGAACCGTGCCAGTAGGCCGGAATAAAATAACATAAAACATATCCGATCTTTCTCTGCCGATGGCTAATGCCACGGCTTAAGTAACGGCAATATCGAATAATTAATTGGCGCCCAACGGGTCAAACTAAGTTGAACGCCGAGTTAACGCGAGTGTCAAAACACCGCGATAAATAAACCAAAAGTGTAAAAGCAAGAAAAAGTCATAAAAATAGGAGAGAGAATCTCCGTGAAAAATTCCTCCGAAATACTAAAAAGAAAATAAGCCAGAAAAGTGTAAAAACAAAAATTCCCGAAAAAATTCCTCCAAACACAAAAGGGAAAATTAACTGAATAATTACAACATAAACGAGTGAGAACGTTCCATAGTGCAACACCCGAATGAAAATCAAAAACTAAAAAAACAAAGAAAGAGCTGAAGGGCATCCCCTCGCTCCAATTGAAGATAAGTGCTGCCGAAAACAAAACACAAACGAGCCGAAGGGCAACCCCTCGCTCCAATTGAAGATAGATTGCAGCCGAAAACGAAGTCAAAAGAGCTGAAGGGCAATCCCTCGCTCCCATCGAAAGATCTACAAGGAAAAAATAGGCTGAAGGGCCCTCCCTCGCCACGAAAGAGAAAATATAATAACAAAATCTACACGTCTATAGGGAATTCCCTGGCCCAACGTTACGGATCCAAAACGCTCAACCGGTGCATAGTTAAACTAAACCAAACTAATCGTCAGAGTAAATATAGGCTGTAACAATGATGTAAGTGAATTGCTTGAATTTTAAATGTTTCCTGTGTCAGCCAACCTAAATCTCTGCTTAAAATAAAAGTTCACCGATAATTGCGTAAATTTTACTAGAATAGCTCAAAAAAAAAAAACAAATGGAAAAGAAAATAAAGATAAAATAAGAAGTGAAACATTTGATTCTTTAATACGGTTGTAAAAACCAGACAAATTCTTCCCCTTGAGATTAATGCTAGGGAGCGCGGTGTTCTAAGTACTTAGGGCAGTGCTACACGCAGCAGTTTGCACCATATGAGTGATAGGGAAAGTGCCGACGATAGTGACGATAGTCTAAAATCCTTGATCGAAGGCCTCCAAGCGGCAGACATTGACAAACGTACGACTCAAAGACCGCCCAAC